TTTTTTATGGGATGTCTGGCTTTCTGCAAATTGTTACTGAACCAAGACATATGTTCTTTTTGAATTAATACATGCGGGGCAAAAACTCAAAACAATAACGCTGATTTATTTCATAAAGATAATTTCCAGGCTAACTGGTTTGTTTTACACTGTCAACAAGAGAAGGGAGTGGGTGGGGAGGAATCTCGTAAAGTGCTGGGGATAAAAAGTTTGTGTTCACATGAAATCTAGAGTAAGTTCAATCTCTGTCTCTCTGTCTCACTCTCTCTAACGAAAATCTCCAGGGGATCTTCCAAGGATTGAACCTGAGTCTCTCGCACTGTAGGTAGATTTTTTACCATCTAAGCCACCAGGGAGCCCCATGAAAATCTAGTTTATTTTTGAAAGTATTTATTGAGCACCATGGAAACACAAGGGCTTCCCTTGTAACTCTGTTGGTAAAGAATCTGCCAGCAATGCAGGAGACCTGGGCTTGATCCCTAGGTTGGGAAGATTCCTGGGAGAAGGAAATGGCAACCCACTCCAGTATTCTTGCCTGGAGAATCCCATGGACAGAGGAGCCTAGCATGCTACAGTCCATGGGGTTGCAAGAGTCTGACCTGCCTTAGCGAGTAAACCACTACCATGGAAACACAGAAGCAAGATAAGATGTTCAATTCAGTTCAGTCCTTCAGTGTGTCCGAATTTTTGCGACCCCATGGACTGCAGCACTCTAAGCTTCCTTGTCCATCACCAACTCCCGGAGTTTGCTCAAACTCATGTCCATTTAGTCAGTGATGCCATCCAACCATCTCATCCTCTGTTGTCCCATTCTCCTTCCGCTTTCAATCTTGCCCAGCGTCAGGGTCTTTTCCAACCTGTCAGTTCTTTGTATTAGGTGGCCAAAGTATTGGAGTTTCAGCTTCAACATTAGTCCTTCCAATGAATTCAGGACTGATTTCCTTTAGGATTGAATGGTTGGATCTCCTTGCAGTCCAAGGGACTCCAAAGAGTCTTCTCCAACACCACAGTTCAAAACCATCAATTCTTCCATCCTCAGCTTTCTTTACAGTCCAACTCCCACATCCATATGTGACTACTGGAAAAACCATAGCCTTGACTAGATGGACCTTTGTTGGCAAAGTAATGTCTCTGCTTTTTAATATGCTGTCTAGGTTGGTCATAACTTT